GTTCCGGCCTCTGCCCGTCAGATCCAGAGCCAGGACCCCACTGCCTGGACCATGCGGCAGCTACAGAGGCCCTGTCCTGCAACACTAGTGCCCCTGCAGCCGCTGGTGGGGCCAGCCAGGGGGCACGCAGGAGGGGGCACGCAGGAGGGGGCACGCAGGAGGGGGCGCGCAGGAGGAAGCAGTCAGCCTCGTCCACTTCACCCATCCACCCCACAGCGCCTTGTGAACCAGCGGCCCCGGGAGCAGGGGCCTCTGCCCACGCTGAGCCCAGCGCCCAAGGATCCCCTGGGACACTGCCTTTGCCCTCCTGATTCCAGTGCCCCCTGGCACAGCCCCAGAGACCCCTCCTCGCCTTTCTGGGGCTTGTGCAAACCCCTCCCTCCCATCCTCTCCACAGAGCGGCCCAGAGGTGACCTCTGACCCTTGTAATTCACCCAACATTACTTTCACATAAAGCCCCTCCCCTGTTAGCGGTGGGGGTCAATTCTGTTACTCGGGGGGCCCCAGATCTTAGCATTGCACAGCAGAGTGGGTCGGGAACCTGCCAGTGGGGCTGTGTCTGCCGCTGCTGCGTTCCTCCCCGTGAGAGTAATGCCCCATGGCGATCACGGAGCCTTGCTGCGTGATTAGCTCCCCCTTGCCGAGCAATTGGCTCAGGCTCTCTGCAGACTCAGGCAGCCTTGCTCGGGGCAGCACCCCCTTGCCAAGTGACTGGCTCAGGCTCGCTGTGGGCTAGAAACCAATTAAAAGCCGAGGTCATGCGGAAATCCGTGTCTCCAGGAGCCGGGGCCCCAGTCTAGCTTCACCACCCTCCTGGGGAGAACAGCACCGACTACACAGCCGTGGCAAAGGAGAGAATCGGCTTTAATGGGCAGGAGCAGTTAATAGTGGGGGGGCACCGTGCCCAGTGCTTCCTCGGGCTCCCGCGTCACGTCGACATTCTGCAACGAGATCCGGGAGGCACAGGGTTACGCAGGCCTTGCTGGATGGAGCTGGGCCTGGTCCCATGGCTTTGAGAGCGTGGGGGTTTCCCCTCCCTACCCCTGATCATTTAGATTGTTCTCTGGGGCAGGGACTGTCTCATTAGGGCTGTGTGATGCCTGGAGCCCTGATCTCAGGCAGGGGTGTCTGTGATGGACCCCTGCTGTCAGGTGGGGTGTCAGGTGCACCCCCAGGATGTTAATGGGGTTAGCACAGGTTACACACGGAGTTTAGTGGCCGTGTAGTGGGATGGGGGGCAGGTGCTGAGATGGGGATGGCAGGGGGGAGATAGAGGAAATGGTTGGGGGGCATGCAGATCTGCTTCCCCCTCCCAAGGTGGGGGAGGGCTGGAGGGGACAGCAGAAGCTGGGATCCAGGCGTGGAGGGCGTTAATTTCACATGGGCTTTTGTCAGTTTCCTGGTGTCCCTCAGTGTGATCAGGACTGGGAGAGTGCACTGGCCTAGCCCCCCAACTTGGGGGCAGGGGAGGAAGCCACTCACCTGGGGGCGCTCCCGGTGCGTGTTCACGGCCTCCACATTGAGGAAAATGGACTCCACTTGACAACCTGCCAGCACCCCATAAAGGAGAAGGCCCCTAGATTAGAGCAGAGAGGTCCATGCGCCCCCCTATTCCTCCCTGGGGCAGGGCGTATAACTGGGTCTGGTCCTCAAGGTTTTTGCGGGGGGGACCTGCCAGTAGGACACGAATGGACCCAGAGGGATCTGGCACCTGTCTGAGGGAAGCGGGACCAGCCCGTGGTGGATGGAGATGCACTCACCGTATGCCACGGGGGTCAGTTTGAGCACAGTGTGAAGTGGGCATTTCAGATAGGGCAGCTCCTCTGTGGGGAGAGAAGAGGGCAGTTAGATGGGGGAGTTTTGGGGTGCACAGGATTCAGCCCATGGGACACACTGTTCCCCATATTCACCACTTTTATGTGGTGGTTATATTTTGTATAAAGCATGCCTCGTGAGGTATACTTTGAAAAGTCATAATCCGCTGAACATCGTTGTCCTGTTACAATGTGTGTATCAACACTGTATAGGGAGTTATGAGATTTGGCTATATGATTGTTACTGATGTGTTATAATTCTGGGTAACACTCACAAGCCAATTTCCCAGGGACAGAGAGACACTGGCTTGCCAGCGAAGTGTTAAAGCCATGTCCTGTCTCATTGGACATTCAGCAGAAGGGGAGAAGGGCTAGACAAAGGCATGGACAGTTGATCTAAAGGACAGTTTGCAGAGTACGTATGCCATGGAACCCATGAGCCGGCAGGGACTTTTTCAGTGAAAAGGGTCAGGATATAAGAAGAGTGGCTCCCTCTGCTCCCCCATCTCTACACACGGGATCATAAACCCATCAGTGAACTGGGAGGACTGGTCCGAACTGGATGGCTTTCCACTTAGCAGGGACCGCTGAAAGTTATGGGGTGAGAGACCTTTTGCTTGGTAAAGTTTACGAGTTAGCTGGTGCTTTTATCCTGGTAGCCAGTTCTGACTCTTGTGCCTGTGTGACTGGAGAGCTCTCCTGCTCTCGTTAATGCCCTTGTTTTAACGGTTTAGCTAAGCCAGCGTGGCGGGGGCGCTCTCCTCAGGTTAACAAAGGCAGGGGCGAGTTCGTTACCCGTTGATGGAACGACTGACGTTTGCACTGTTCAGGGGGGTCCTGATCAGCGTGAGCCGCACATTTCTGGGGTGCAAGGCTGGGACTGAGGGATGCACAAGTGTCGCCCTGTATCTGTTTGTGAGCGGCTGGGAGAGCATGCGTGGCCCTTTGCTGGGGGGCCGGGGCATGGGCCTGGAGCGGCTGCTTGCCACTAGCAGAGCAGTGAGAGACGTCCGGGGCTGGAGAATTAAGGGGAGAGGCAGAAAAGGTCAGAGACTCGCCAAAGAACATAAAAGGGAAGCACATTGTCTGGGTCCCAAACCTTATTAGACCGAGCGGGATTTGGACCAAGCAGTTTCTCTCACCCCCTGGACGTTGCAGGTACGTTACTGTCCTTCATACGCAGGCTTCCCCCTTAAGCTTGGGGCCAGTCTCCTCAGTTCAAGTCTCGATCTTCCCCGTGTTCCTGCTGCTTCCAGCGTAGGCGGGGAGGAGAAAGGCCAGAGCATGATGCCCCTGTCCTCTGTTTTCTACCCTCAGTCCCTGGGCCTGGCAAACACCAGCCCAGACGTGTCAGAGAAGAGCAGTCCCCCAGCGTGATGCCCTCTGACAGCACTGTAAATCCCTTGCTCACAGCCCCCTTGCTGATGAAGGGTCGTTGAGCGCCCGCCTGGGGGTGGGTCACCGGACAACTGGCCGTGGCCGACCCCCAGACAAACAGCATATTTCAATAAGTCTCAACCTCTTCCACGTTACCGAGGTACATATTTGGACCGAACGATGGGGTTCAGCACATCATGACCTTTCCTCGGATACCTTACACGGCCATCTATGAACGATAGATATGGGGGTTACAGCTAGAGCGGTAGGGGGCTGGGAGGAGGTAGCTGGGGGGGGGTACCTGCGACTCTTGTCCAGGAAGTAAGCCAGCAGGCAGCGCATGACGGCCTGATGGCAGATCACCAGCACATTCTCCTGCCGCTCCAGCTCCATGATGACGGGCTCCAGCCGCTGCACCAGGTCCTCGTATGACTGGGGACAATTGTGGGGGGGGGCTGATGCCAATGAGAGAGACGCTGCCTCCCTCCTCCTCCTCCACCCCCGGCCAGGTTAACAACAATCATCACCCAAATCTGCCCATAGATTCTCCAGTGGCAGGAAGTTCCATGGGCTCATTGTGCGTGTGAAAAAACTTGCCCCCCTGCATCATGGGGCAGGGAGTTCCACAGGCTAAGTGTGTTGCCAAATTCATTCCCTTTAGGAATACCCCCCGGCAGGAGACCCATCACTAAACTCCTGGGAACACTCGCTGGCAAGGAGTTCCACAGTCTGAGTGTGCTGCTAAATTCATCCCCCTGGAAATACACAGTGGCAGTGAGTTCCAAAGGTTATTTATGTCTGTCACTATAATTTGCCTCCAAGATCATGTGGCAGGGAGTTTCCTGGGTTACTGACAAGTGAATCCCCCCCCCCTTCATCCCGCTCCAGTCAGGGTGCAGGGCACCCCCCTTACCTCCCCTTTGGGGTATCGGTATCGGTACTTGTCTTGATCACGCAGGGCAAACTCCTCCGGGTGATGGGCCTGGATCTCCTCATAGGACATCTCCTCACAGACGCCCTGAAACACCCCACACCGTTACAGAGGTCATCCCTACCTCTGGGAGGGAAGGGGGGGATCTAGTGGGTTAGAGCAGGGATGGGGGGCCCGGACACCTGGGTTCTCACCGCGTCAATCTCGTTCAGCGCCTTCCACTGCTCGTAGGGCACATGCAGGGCCTCGGCCGTCTGGATCGTCCGCTTCATGTGGCTGGTCCACACCTTGAGCTCCCGGATGTTCTGGCTCTCGATGAAGCCGGCCAAGGCAGAGGCAAACTAGGGGGGTGGAGAGGGGGTGACCCCCGTCCCCCAGCCAGGGAGGCACTGGCTCCCCTCCCTGTGTCGCTGCTTCTGGAATGGGAGAGCCCTGATCCCCTGGCAGCAACTGCCCCATCCTAGTCCCCCAAACCTGCTTGCTATGGGCCCCCTCCTCCATACCCACTTGCTATGGGGGTACAGTTTTCCAGCCCCCCTAAACGTTTGCACTCTGGGGGTGCCACTGTCATCCAATCCCCACCCCCCAAGTCTCCTCTTTGCAATGGGCGCCGGTGCCAGCCCCCGATCCCTGCCCCACCTGCTTGCCGCGGGGGGAGAGCCCCGAGTCGCCCCCAGGCCCCGCCCCCACCTGCTTGCTGTGGGGGGAGAATCACAGAATCTCAGGGTGGGCAGGGACCTCAGGAGGGATCTAGTCCGACCCCCTGCTCAAAGCAGGACCAATCCCCAGACAGATTTTTGCCCCAGATCCCTAAGTGGCCCCCTCAAGGATTGAACTCACCACCCTGGGTTTAGCAGCCAACGCTCAAACCACTGAGCTATCCCTCCGCCAAGCCCCGAGTCGCCCCCGTGCCCTGCCCCCACCTGCTTGCCGCGGGGGGAGAGCCCCGAGTCGCCCCCGATGCGCCCCTGCAGGTTGTGCCGGCTCTCGCCGTGCCGGGTCAGGTAGATGGCGCGCGGCGTGACGTGGATGTTCATCAGGTAGTACACGGTGCGGCTCTGCACGTGGTCCTGCACCCGGTTCACCAGGTACCGCAGCCCCACGTTGAAGATCTTGATGTAGGACAGGGCGCTGGGGGGGATGAGCAGGGGGTCAGGACGCCTGGGTCCCAGGTCTGGGAGGGCAGTGGGGGGGGGCTGGGAGCCAGGACGCCTGGGTTCTCTTCCCGGCTCTGGGAGGGCAGTGGGGGGGTCTGGGAGCCAGGACGCCTGGGTTCTCGCCCCGCTCGGAGCGGAAGGGGGGGTCTCACCTGTCCAGCTCGTCGTCCAGGGGCTGGTAGTGGAGCTGGTAGCACTCGATGCGCTTGAGGAAATCCTCCACCACCTCCTCCCGGTTACAGTCCTTGTAGTCCGGACTGCTCAGCTTCACTTGCTGCAGGGGGGACACCAGGGAGATGGGCCCGGAGCTGAGGGGTCCGCCCCCCCGTGTGTGTGTGTGTGTGGGGACACCCCAGGCCGCCCGCCTCCCCCCCTGTGTGTGTGTGTGCGGGGGGGACACCGCGGCCCACCCGCCTCCCGCCCCGGGTGTGTGTGTTTGTGGGGGGCCCCCCTGGACCGCCCACCTCCCCCCCTGGGTGTGGGGCGGGGGGGGCACTGAGACAGCCAGGTCCCCGGGGGGTGTTTCTCTCACTGTGATGTTCTCCTCGATGATATCCGGGTCGTCGCAGATGGACTCGATGAAAAACACCTGGGGGGGTGTGTGTTAAGGTGGGTCTGACAGTGACTGCAGATCCCAGCGCTGCGCACTTCCCCCTTCAGTGCCCCCCGCCCCCCCCCCCCCCCCGCCCGCACCCCCTTCACCTTGTAGCCATGGTCGCCGGCGCACTGCAGGATCATGTTCCGTCGCTCCCGCGTCGTGTTGGTGGCGTCAAACACCTGAACATAGGAGCAGGCATGAGACCGGGGTAGATGGGCCCATGGGTCTGGCTGGGGGGAGGCAGGGG